TTTGAACGGATTAATGCTTCGTAACTACAAGTTCAAAGCATTTAACAAGAAGATCATCACATTCAATGTACGAGCACGAACCATCTCAAGTAGTACGAATCGTTCACTCTAAACTAAAGTAGTAGTGATACGACTCGTTCCTCGTAGTATGGTTCGTCCCATACCTTGAATGTGAAGGAAAAGAAAACAATTGTATGGATAACATTTAACAATCACAGAAAGTCAAATATTCGAAAGAATAATGAAAATTATATAAAACAAACTTCTAAATCACCATACAAATGTTCAAACCTTTACATAATTAAAAATCAAAAAGAAAACTACATAATTACATGGCTAGGGTTTCATCAAAACCCTAGAAAATAAGACTAGCCACTCATGGAGGAGTGGAAGGAGGTAGAAGGAGAATGAACCACCATATGAGACATCTTGGAGCTTTTGTTTCTCTTCTTTTCCAAACCCTAGCCTCTCTCTTTAGGTCAAAACAACTTCCGAACCCTAATCCAGCCTTTTACTTGCCTTTTTGTACTTCCAATCTCGTCCAAACAGGTTTAAAATATCGGTTTGACTTTCCCAGAAAAAGTCAACGCACGTGCGGAAAAAGTCAACGCACGTGCGGGAAAGTCAACTCTGTCCAAATTCTGTCTTTTTGCCCATTTTATGCTCCGGCGATGTACAACCTGATTGACACTCAACACACATAAAGTATACAGTTTGACCAACAAGTGAAATTAAGAGATTCTAATTAACGGCCTCAATAATGTACATTTTGGCCTTAATCAGAGGGACCTCAGACTAATTTTTTTTTCCCCCTTCTTTTTTCTCTATATTTCCAAAATAGGCCAAATAAGCAGTTTTTTTTGCTTATTTCCAAAAGGGGAAAAAAATGCTTATTTTGTTATTCCCAAAATGGGCCAAAAATAAATTGCTTAAATAACCTACAAAAAAATAATTATTTGAAAGTTGGGAAAGTTTGTTTTTGACTTATACTTTTTTAAAAGGGTCAGGCTTCTCTCAAATCCGAAACTAGACTATAGAGTGTTGTTGGGCCCATGAGAGCTCACTACGGGTCTAATTTTGATGACCTGAACCATTCAATGTGTAAAATTCGCCGAATACTTCATCCATGCAAAAATTACATTAATTAGATATCGATAGTCATTTGATAAAATCATATTTCTATCAATGGTAAATATGGTTTCCAAAATAAATTGTTGACAAAAATCGAATCCAATATCAAATAGCTATTGATATCTGATCAACATGATTTTTTTGCATAAATGAAATACCTGACGAGTTCTACACATTCAACAATTCAAATCCTCGAACATGACTCGTAGTGAGCCCTATGTGCCCATGTTTAATTTTTTTACTATTATTTTTTACTTAACCCAATGGGGTGTGACACTTTGGTAAGACTTTTGGGCATAAACCTTGAGCTTCCAAGTTCCACTCTCCTTAGGCAACAATGCATATGGTTGGTAAGATGAAACTTTCAGGCATGGGTGAAACGAAACTTCCAGGCTTGGGCGAAACCTTCCAGGCCTGGGCGAACTGTACTTAGTATTAGGAGTGTGAGTTTAAATCATCACCTATGTAGTCCGTGACTTACTGCGACATTGTTGAGTGAACTTGTTATGTAACAACTACTTAAGGGTGACCTTTGCGGTCTTGCATCTATAAGGGTGACCTCTAGGGTCTTAATTCCTTACAGAGTCTACCACTAGAGATTACCCCCATGTGATTAGGCATTTTTTGTTTAAATAATTTTTTAATTTACAATAAACTATATTAAGACCTCATTTGACAATTACATGTTTTAATTAAAAAATCAAAAAACTACTATAAATTGTCACATCACTCTTTATACTTTTCGGTATAACTTTTCGTAAAAAATAAAAAAATTACTAAAATAAATTATTCCCAAACCAGGCCTAAATAGTAACCATAATTTTTGGGTCCAATTGATTTGTTTTTGTGTCTATTTAGTTGTATCAAACCAAAATCAATAAATAAATTTAAGGCATATAATCTTCTCCCAAAAAACTATATTGAAAAAAACCACACACTCACATACATTATCTTGTGTTTATGATCCCATGGCGGCATCCAATAGTGTTATGTGTTTTGGGTTAAAATCAATATTATGATAGAAAGGTACAATAGTTACATGTAAAAATAAAAGAGTAAAACATTATTCGAACTTAAAATTAGAGACAGCTTTGTGTTTGTTATTATAATGATGTGTCACATTTATTAATAATCAATTGTTTGATGATGTAGACTATCTTATACCCCATGCCAATGCTATTTAAGTTTTGTGCAAATTGTTTTCTTTAAATATATGTATCAAACAGTTCAAATCCTTTCACAAAACCTGTTAAAATTCCTTTCACAAAACCTGTTAAAATTATTGAATTAAAAATGCAGCTCTTTCCATAACTTATCCCAATTTGTTCCCTTTCGTTGACAAAACGGAAAGGATCACGTTAAATAAGACGTTTTAGTTTTTGACTATTTTAATAGGTAAAAATTTTTGTGTTTGAAAAGATGGTTGTATTTTTTTGTAGTTAGGTGTCATGTTTGTGAGAAAAAAAAAAGTAAAATGGTTATGGATTTAATGTGACATTTTGTTTTATTAACTATTTTAATTTATTTTATCTTTTTGTGAATTTTAACCAAAAAAAAAAAAAAACTAAAACCCAAGTTGCCAAATAGGACCTAGTGGTATATTTCAAAATAGTTAATATTTCATAAAAAACTGATGACTTTAATTATTTTATTGATCTGGAATTATTTTACAAACATATAATGCATTGTTATTTTCAAAAAATATAAAAAATAAAAAGTGAAAATTCCACTACATTTTCACGCATCAATAATGCACTTTACAATCAGTTTGTATACATTTACAACTTTTAATTTAAGGGTCGTTTGATAAATGGTTATTTTATTTAAAAAGTTAAAAATTAAATTTTAAATTATTATTATTTTTAATTCATACAAAAACGTTTCTTATCAATCATTGTATAAAATGAAAGATTTATTCCTATTAATAATTTTTGTAATTTATTTTGTGTTAAAAAATTAAGGATTTTTTTTTAAGGTCCCTCATATTAAGATTTTATAGCATAAAAGACATAAAATATTTACATACTAGTTGCGGTCCCTCAAATTTTTATAGAAAAATTTTGAAGCAGAGAAATTTTGATCCAAAGAAATTTGTGAAATTTCTTTGGTTTGCTCAATTTCTCTAACTTCTCTGGTTTGCTCACAATTTTTTCTGTGTTTGACCAAATTTGTCTAGTTTGCTCACAATTTGCTCTATGTTTTGAACAATCCAAGAAAAATTGAGCTACTTAGAAGCCAAAAACAAATAGACCAGAGAAAATTGAGATACTCACAAACCAATTTTCTCTGTGTGGTTCTGAAATGTGATCCAACATAAAACCTAATAATAGATCTGTAATGGTGAGTGATGAAGTGGCAATTGCCCAAAACTTGTAAAACTGATACAATAATTACAAACCCCCAGTTAAATTCTGTGATGCTTGTGACATCTTAAACATCACAGTTCAACATTCAACACAAAATTTAATACATATTTCTATATGCAGATTATATATAGACCGTGATAGTTAACAAAAAAAAAAAAAAATTTTCAGTAAAAAAAATCAAAATTGACCCAAAATCTGGGAAACACTTAGTAGAGAAAAACTTATTGTGTGCTACACAACATTGTGAATCTAACGCAGATCTCTTCCCTTTAGCATTCTACTAACGCATTCCAGCATTGAAAACATGGTCTTCGGCGACATCGCTGATCCTTTCGAGGCGATTTCATGTGGGGGCAACATTTGTTCATCGTCATCATCATCCAAGTCCAACTCATTCCCAATCTTCTTCTGAATGATTGGAACCCTAACCGAAGTTGATTGTTGAAACTTTCAAAATGGTACCAATTGAGAGTACTCTCTCTCCAGTGGCAGAGGTTTTGGTATTGCCAAAACCAACCACGACGACAATGTAATTGAAGGTTTTCGGTACAGGACAGGGCGATTAGGTTTCCGGTAGTATTCCAGTAATTTAGCAAAAATGCCAACAACAATGATTCATCCCCCCTTTTCCTCCCACCCCCTTTGACCCCCTCTCTCTTTCATTGGTTACATTTTCTTTTTCTTTTTCTTTTTTTTCCTGCTCCTCCAATCACCACCCGCCACATGGCAAAGGGGGGGTGAGGGGGTGACCCCAAAAGGGGGTCCCAAGCATTATTCAAATGCCAAAATTAGGGTTGGGAGGTTTGAAACACTGCATCTTGAAACGTAGGAGGAGAGAGAGAGTGTGTGTGAGTGCGCGCGCGTGAGTGAACGGATGTGATATATAAGTGTGGGTGAGGGACCTTAGACAACAAAAAGAAATATCGTGAACTTCTCTCATTACTAAAAATTGGAGAGTTAGACTAATTTTTTCAAAAATTAAATTTTGAATTAAAAAATAATTAAAATATTTATTTCTTAACTACCTTTCCATATTACACTCACCCTTCCATTGAGATTTGGTTAAATTAATTAAAAAATAAAGAATTATTATAAATTAACGCATTATGTTCTCTATTTTTTTTATAAGATTTTTTTTATAAAAAATTATCAAATTAATTGACACAATCAATTATCAAATAGGCCTTGCTCTAATGGGTCCATTTGAAAAATTAGCTATTAGTAGATTATTTTAATTTTTAACTATTTTAATAGGTTAAAATCTTTGTGTTTGAAAAATTAGTTAATTTTTTTTTATAATTAAATGTGATATTTGTAAAATAAAAAAATAATTATAAATAATATCTCTTATTGATTATTTTAAATTATTTGATTATATTTTTTTTTATGAATTTTAACCTTAAAAAAAAAAAAAAAAACCTAAAAACCCAATTCTCAACGCAGGTACAGGCCAATATATAACTGCATTTTGACCGTCAATTATCGGAAAAACCTCAGAAAGGCAAACCCACTTCCAAACTCGTCTTCTTCCTAGAGAGAGAGAGAGAGAGAGAGAGAGAGAGAGCGAAGCATTTTAGAGAGAGGGAGTCTTTTCTTTTTTGGCGCCCTTTCCTCGAAGCAATTGGGCACAAGACCATCAAGATTCCCCTCTTTTTCCTCATAATCGCTTCTTTTTTATGCCCAAAAAAAAGAAAAAAAACCAAACCCTCAATCTCTATCAATACCCATCTCTTTCTGTTCAATCAATCCTTCAATACACAGTCCCTATTTTGACTTTTTAACTCTCTCCGTGTCTCCAATGGCCTCTCAGCAACAATTATCTTCAATCAAGGTATTTATATGCTTTTTATTGCTATTCATGTTCACTTGATTGAAGTAATATTTAGCATATTTTGTGCTATTTAGGGCGCAAAAGTGCTTATGGTCGGTGCTGGTGGTATTGGCTGTGAGCTTCTCAAAACCCTAGCTCTCTCTGGCTTTGAGGACATCCATACTGTGAGTACACCTTTGTACTTGTTTTCACTTCGTATTTTATCGTGTTTTGGAGTTTTTGGATGGGTGAATTTGTACTTGTGGTAGGTTTAGGGTTTAGGGTTTCTCACTGGTTTTGTGTTAGGTTTTGGGTTACATGGCTCAAATTTAGACTGTGAAGTCAACATTCAAGGTTTAGCTCTTTTTGGCAGTGCTCTTTTTTAATTTTAATTTTAGTTGAATCTTGAAAATAATTTTCTCATAGTGGGTTAGTTTTATTGTGTTTCTAGTTTTTATGATAGAGTGAATTTGTATTTTGTGGCAGGTTTAGGGTTTTGGGTTTCTCACTGGTTTTGGGTGTGTAGAAAAACTTATTTTACATGGCTCAAATTTGAGACTGCGAAGTCCAAACTCAAATCTTATTAACATTCAAGGTTTATCTCTTTTTGGCAGTGCTCTTTTTTAATTTTAATTTTTGTTGAATTTTGAAAATATTTTTCGTATAGTGTCTAGAGTGTAGTTTTTTGTTTGAATAAATTTCTGCTATTGCAGATGTTTGGGGGTGGGGTTATGGTATTGATTTACTAATTTTTTTTTGTTTGTTTGTGTGCATATATAACTCTGTTTAAGTTAGTCATTGCAATTTTTCCATCTTTGGATAAGTCGACTTTCAACCATGCTAGGACTTTGGGAAAAAGTCATTATAGTGTGTCACCATGTCCTTATCCGGACGACTATCTGTATCTACTAAAGGAACTTGGATTTGTGTTGCATCCATAGAGAAATATGGGTTCCTTTAACTGTAAATGTCAATTTCCTAGTTGGGAAGAGTCCTTCTCTCAAATGGGCAAACTGAACCTGCATTAGATGACTTGGGAATTTTGGTTTAACAAGGATAGAATCAAATTCCCCCATGATACAATACACAATACATATCAAATTGGTACGTTGATACAGGATATGTAATATGATTTGACAACACTATCCAAAAGTATTATTGTATTGTTTGTATCATTATACCAAAAAATAATTGGCTTATGTTTTTTTTCGGTTGTGAAATTATCTATTATAGTGGCATTTGTATTATTCTTGATAGTGAAATTCCCTTACTTGATGAAATGCTCCACATAATTTTTGCTTTAAAAGAATGAAAATGCTAATGATAGCGGCTGTCATTAGCCTTGCAAGATGTTTAAAAAGTGTATTGAAACCTATAAGAAGTGTATGAAAATATGCAAAGATGTTTTGGAATACATAAAAGTTGCATTTGATTCTAATTTTTTTGGCATTTGCTACCTCTGCCGCCATTAGCAGGACCCTTGAAAGAAACGCAAAATTCAATTAGTACTGTTCAACAAAGTTTAAGGGTGCTAAAGGGGTTTTTTCGTCATTAGCCTTGGATTTTGTCTTTTCTTTATTTGTGTAGTTCCTTTTGCTACAGGTGTATTGTTTAGCATCTCCTTGATGCTCCTTTAATAAAGATTTAATCCTTATTTATCCAAAAAAAAAAAAATCGATAGTACTTTGCAAAATATCTTTTTAGGCACTACAATGTTGATTAAAAATCATGGCCAACGTTCACGTTGTGATAAATAAAGGCCATAATATGCTTGTTATTGAGATTTGCTAGTGCATGAAAAAAAAAATCATGAGTTAGGTTTCCAATTTCTGTCACATTGCCGATACCTTGTACATGTGACCATGACTATTATGTTGGCCAATACCGTGATTTAAATTCGCTCTTGATGTTTGTATTTAGTTTAATATTTTAGTTTCAAAATGCTTTAATTAAACTTTACCTCCTTCAAAATGTTTTAGTTAAAGGGAACGAAGTGATGCTAGACAACATTTTAAGGGGGTAAAGTACTATTTACCCTTTCAAAACTAAAGTCATCTTGATGATTTAGCTATTTTTTTTTTTCTCCTTGTGGAGGTAATGTTTTTTCAGTAGATTTGCTTCCATGCAATTGTTTGATTTTATTTATTTATTTTGGTTCTTTTTCCTTTGTTAGGATTTATTTTTTTATTTTTATTTTTTTGCTTTTTATTTTTTATTGGGAGGGGGTGGGGTTGTTTGTTTTTTTTCTTTCCTCAATTAGGTGTATTTGTTTGCAGATTGATATGGACACAATTGAAGTGAGTAACCTAAATAGACAATTCTTGTTCCGAAAATCACATGTTGGGCAATCTAAGGCCAAAGTAAGTAAATGATATTCAGGCTTTCGTTCTTGTTTGTTGTCATGTACAGTTCTATCTCTTACTAATATTATTTATTCATGTTTTGTTGATTCTTCAACCAGGTTGCTCGCGAAGCTGTGTTAAGATTTAGGCCTCACATAAGCATTACGCCATACTATGCAAATGTTAAAGATGCACGCTTCAATGTTGAGTTTTTTAAGCAATTCAATGTTGTTTTGAATGGACTTGACAACTTAGATGCAAGGCGACATGTAAACCGCCTCTGCTTGGCAGCTGATGTTCCATTGATAGAGAGTGGGACTACTGGGTTTCTAGGGCAGGTGATATTTTGTTTTATAAAGTTTTTTGGCATGTAAAAGTGTTCGTTTGAAACTCTGGCTTGCGTGTATGCATTGTTCATTAGTTCTGAATATGACTTTCTTGTTTATATATGTAATTTCTGAGTGTATATATACACAGGGGTTGGTGAATAAAGTGAAAAAGCATGCAATAATTATGCTTGTTCAATTAAAAGTTACGCTAGTTTGAACAAGCAATATTATCAACTGATGACAACTTATTCTCCTAGACAATTATGTGACGATGCTTGCATATAGTGATGGAAGTATGCATTGTATGCTCATGGCAGGTAAGGGTGAAAAAACCATGCCTGTATAAACTAAGCATGGAGTCAACTCAAGTTATCTTTGAAGTCTAAATACAAAACAAAACTGAATGTTTGCCTCTTATGTGAAATGGCCTTTGTGTTTGTACAAAGAGTCAAGACAGTGTAAGAAGAATCTATGTAAAGTTAAAATACGTCCATAATGCAAACATGGTGAACAAATCTGTTTGAAGTTCATTAGTGTTGCTCTTCACGTAGAAGATGCATCTGTCAATTGAACATATCTTTAAAAAAAAATCCTTCCTGTTACTATAAAAAGCTTCAATGACTAGCTTTGCATCTCTTTTGTTTAGAAGCTTAAGCTTGTGAAGTAGTACTTATGATCAGCTAAAAGTTGTGGAATAGTTGCTTATAAAAAAGAAAATAAATTGTGCTATAGTCATTGATTATTCTTGTAGTTGTTTCAAGTTAGAGATAATGTGGTGGGCTTGCTGTGGAATTGAAGTGTGGAACACATCTATTTTTGTTATGAGGGATTACTTTTTGTTGATTAGCAACATGAGAGAATTTTATTAAGAAAATGTGAAGAACAAAAGGATACAATGGAGGACAAGAAGTCTGTCAAAAAGAAAAGACACAGGCAAAATTACATATCACAAACTGCTCTCCAGTCACTAGAATAAAAAACACAAGGATTCACTTAAAAGGGGATGATATTGAGGCCCAAAAAGAAGACAGCATATTTTATCCCATAGGCCCTAGAATTTATCCTTAAACATCTTGCATTTCTTTCCAACTAAATCACCGATAAGACAACACAAATGACACAATGCCAAAGAACTCTAGTCTTCTAGTTAAAACCAAAGGCCTCGTTGTAGCTTCTAAGTATTGTTCTTCTCATTTTATAATTTTTAAAATTATTATAACATAAATGATTGACGAAAGTTGGTATCCTAGATATACATGAGAAAGTCATATTAGGGTTAAAATAAGCCATAGGATTAATCAAACACTAAAACTGTCTGAAGGACCTTTGAAGTAATGCTTAGTTACAAATTCCCAGGAAATTAAACCACAGGGAACCTGGTTAACAACAAAGCTTGCTGGAAACTCATTTTCTTATAAAGATTCTGCGAGTACATCCATCCTAAGTGGTCTTGTAAAGGTCTAAATACTTAAATTTTTCAGGACAATTTGGAGGACATTGATTCTTTACGTGAGTTTGTTATTTTTCATCTTTTTGGGCTTTGGTGTCGTCCTTCTTTTCGAGAGATTCCTTTCTTCTTGATTTCTAGAGATTGGAGGGCACTATGTGACGTGTAGCTTGAGGCAATTGTTACTTGTATTAATTTCGTTTTGATTTTTATTTTTGTTTTCTTCTTTGGAGGATTCCTTGTCGGCCATTTTCTCGTAACCCTTCTGCTGCTCATTAATAGTATTCTCTTTTTGTTGTTGCCAATAAAAAATAATAAAAAAAGAGAGAAAAGAAATAGATTGACAACATTAACTGTCAGACATGCTCTGAAATTTTGGGAATTTTAAATTTGTTACTTGATTTCCTATTTTTTCCTCTGCTTGATTCTAATTAAATAAAAATAAAATGATATGTTGGATTTTTTTGCATTTATTGGAAGCAGGTTACTGTACACATCAAGGGTAAAACAGAATGTTATGAATGCCAGCCGAAACCAGCTCCAAAAACTTATCCTGTGTGTACTATCACAAGTACTCCATCAAAGGTATTCGCTCCTAGTTCTGTTGCCTTGTATATTCTTTCTCTTGTGTGAAAAGTTTCGTCTGTGTTGTTTGTATTGGAAGTTATATGATATTGTGAATGAGAATCTTAATTGCTCACCAGAAAGTTTAAGAGTCTTGCCAATGATGTGGTTATTTCATATTGGTTTATGGTTCCGTAGATCGAGCACATTGACAGGGTAGATGGAGCAGTCTGTGAAGAATATTTGTTACAGTATTTTAGGTTGTTTTGGTTTGTATATTTTGGATAGCCAGTTTGCAAATTTTCGGAAGACATTTCATGGTTCTTCATTTCCATGTGCCTTTTGATTTGGAAACTAATAAAAGGCTATTATTATAAAATGTTTAGTAGTTAATGGAATGTGAATACTGGAAAATAAAGGATTGTCATGAAAATTAGCCATTTATTGTCTTTCCCATTTCCAAGATACTTTTTTTCCACCATGTTAATTGTGTGCTTTGACATCGTTGTGGCAATGTTGCAGTTTGTTCACTGTATTGTATGGGCAAAGGAACTACTTTTTGCCAAGCTCTTTGGGGACAAGAATCAGGAAAATGACCTAAATGTGCGTTCCAGTGATGCTACTAGACAATCTGAACATGCAGAAGATGTTTTTGAACGTAAAAAGGAGGAAGACATTGAGCAATATGGGAGGAGAATATATGATCATGTTTTTGGTTATAACATTGAATCAGCTTTATCTAATGAAGAGACATGGAAACACCGTAACAGACCAAAGCCTATATACAGTAGAGATGTCCTGCCTGTTGAACTTACTCAACAGAATGGAAATGTGGATAAAAATTCTGTGGCTGATGATCTGTCATCTGTGTCTGCTATGGCCTCTCTAGGGTTGAAGAATCCACAAGATATATGGAGCCTAAGTGAAAATTCAAGAATATTTTTTGAGGCGTTAAAATTATTTTTTGTGAAAAGAGAGAAGGTTTGTTTTGTTATCTTGCTTTTCTAGAAGCTTTTTTATAGCCCTATGGTTCCCTTTTGTCTTTATTTTTTTTCCTTCAAAATATAATTACTTATTTTGACACAAAATGATTTTGTTTTTTACCTTTTCTCCTTGCCTCGCTCCCTTCCCACTTTTTCTCGCTTTCTCTATATCTCACACACAGGAGATTGGGAACTTAACTTTTGATAAGGACGATCAGTTAGCCGTAGAATTTGTTACTGCTGCTGCAAACATTCGGGCTGCTTCTTTTGGAATTCCTTTGCATAGCCTTTTTGAAGCTAAAGGTATTGCTGGTAATATTGTTCATGCTGTTGCAACAACAAATGCTATCATTGCTGGGTTGATCGTGATCGAGGCAATTAAGGTGCTGCAGAATGATGCTAACAGTTATAGGTGGGGCCCTATTCGTTTTCCAGCTAACTCAAGTGTGTTTACTTTTTGGGATAATGCATTTCTAAGCCTCGTTGTTGGAGTTCCATTTAATTTTGTGGTTGTTGGATGTTCTGTTTGATGTATCTATAGTTTCTGGAGTTTTATTCTATTTGATGGTTGTGAAGAGTGAAGCCTTTGAAATGTGGGATAATAGTGTAAAAATTTCAAGCTCATTAACTATCTGAAGTTCCAGGTGTTTGTTGTGTTAGAGAGCGACTCTTTAATATGCTGGTGTCATCCTTGTGAATGCAGATTTGATTGGTGTTTCACATAGAGCTGGTTCTCTGGCAAAAACATTAATTTTATACATAAATCTTTTTATTTTTTGAGATTGGTACTGTTGATTTATGAGGATGATAGTGTAGACCTAAATAGTCTATTATATATATATATATATATTAAATTTCATTTTTGATTGCTAGTTGTCTGTGGAGACGAGGAAATTAGGAAGGTACTTCTGGTATGAAATATCAATTATGACATAAACTCAAATTTTATTCACCATCTTTTAAGTGGCTAATGTGTGTAGGATGTCTTGTATAGGATGACATATTGCCTTGAACATCCATCAAGAAAGATGCTTCTTATGCCAGTGGAGCCGTTTGAGCCAAACAAATCCTGCTATGTCTGTTCTGAGGTGCATTTATGTTCTCTTCTTATTTTTGTGATTTTTGTTTTCTTACTTGGCGGTTCAAATCCTGGGTCCACAATTGTCTTCTAACCTCATGCTGTATGTTTGTAAGTAGACACCTTTGTTGCTTGAGGTTAATACTTATTGTTCAAAGTTGAGGGACTTTGTTGAGAAGATTGTTAAAGCTAAGCTTGGCATGAGTTTTCCGTCGATTATGCATGGGGCATCCCTCCTTTATGAGGTTGGTGATGATCTTGATGAAGCTATGATAACAAACTACGCGGCAAACCTAGACAAGGTATTTATGTGTGTTATGTCACTGTTTTATGTTTTTCGGTTTTGCTGTTTATAGAGTAGTTGCATCATGCTTATGTTCTCTTCTCTCTTTCCCCTGCTTAGGTTCTGTCTGAGTTGCCTTCTCCAGTCACTGGTGGGACAATTCTCACAGTTGATGATCTTCAACAAGAACTGTCCTGCAGTGTCACTATTAAGCATAGGTTTGTATCAATTTTTTTGCTAGGCTTCTCTCTCTCTCTCTATATATATATATATGTTTGTATCTTTCTATGTCTTTAATATGATTACAACAGGAGATCTAGCAGAGCATGGATAGGGAGTGTTTGGCAAGTTGGATTTTAGCTTTTTTTTGGCTAAAATCCACAAACAGACAAAATAGGCTAAAATAGCTAATAAAACAAAATGTCACATCAAATCCATAATCATTTCATTTTTTTTTTCTTACAAACATCACATTCAACTACAAAAAAATCTAACTATCTTCCCAAACACAAAAATTTTAACTTATTAAAATGGCCAAAAACTAAAATAGCTTATTAAAATAGTAACTTCCCAAACCTCCACTAAGAGTGGTTCTCAATTTGCTGTGGGCTTTTTAATTACAAAACTCTCTTGGCATGCACAAGGGCTTACTTTTCCTATTCCTTTTGGTTGGGGAGGGCATTGCATGCATAATTGAGGAAAAAGTAACTTGATTTTGAACTTGGTTGTCATTTGGTAGTTACTCTTTGTTTTTTGTCATGAAATTAGTGGGTCAAAATAGGAAACATAAATAATCCAAAATGGCATTTTTAAAATTTGTCATTGAAAACTTTTAGAACGTCAAATAGCAAAAGGCCCTATGGACATAAAATTGAGTCAGATTTTTATTTTTAAAATATTTTTTTTTTGAGTCTTGCCAGCTTGAAACTCTCAACACGAATTTTAGCTTTGTTTATAGAATGTGAGTTACGGGTTTCGCTCATCTTAAAACCAGTATTATGATGGGAATTAAATTTCTTATGGGAAGAAGAATATTATTAATTTGTGAGGAAGCATTTTAAATGGTGTTTTAAATTTGAAGGCAAGCGCACCACTCTAGCTATTTTTGTTGATTTCTCAATTTGATTTATACTGATCGTTTTTAACTTGTAATGTGTTCGCTTCTTTGGTTGTAAAAGTTCTTTTGATGGTTTTTGTCTTGTTGAACCCGATACTCCTTAAATGTTATAAATTACATTTATTTCCCCCCAAGCGTTTTTAAGTTATGATTATCCAATGTCATCTACATGACATTGTCGTCACTACATTTCATTTGCCTTGATTCATAAATATATATTTTTGTAACTGAGAACACCTTGACAATTCACTGGAACCTATGGTGTCTCTGAATCATAAAATGATTGCTTCTGTCCTGTAGCTATATTTAATTTTACAGTTTATATTATGGTTGCTGGTTTGGTACTATGTTGATATATTGATGGCAGTTAATTTGTGTATTGTGTCTATTCTATATGTGGATTGATGGATTTAGTGTTAATACATTAAAATTAACACCAAAATGGCTGTTTGATTTTGTACAAGTGTAACATTTGAATCTGTATTCTGCAATTTTATTGGAATTCATTGTGTGATTTGACTTGGATTATCATTGTGGGTGTTCTTTGTTATCTTGCTGCCATATTTGAAAGTGTTTTTTACGTTTCATTTCGTGCAGAGAGGAATTTGATGAGGAAAAGGAACCTGATGGGATGGTTCTCTCTGGATGGACACAAGCCCCTGCAAAAGAGGACAACAATATCTCTGCTAACAATGGTGCGAGCACATCAAACACATCTCAGGCAGCTTCTCTGGAGACCGTGGAGGTTAATGAAATACAAATAGTTCCGACCGGGGCTGGAAGTGTTTCATCTGGGACGAAAAGAAAGCTGTCTGACATGTCTGATGCTGCTGATCCGGATCATTCTAGTGTCATCACCGAGACAAGTAAGGAAGAACTGCAAGAACTTGATGATGATGATGGCGATGATGTTGTGATGATCGATGATGTTAATTCAGATGGAAGCAAGAAGAAGAGGTTGCAATAGTTGTGTGGATCTAACCATCACGTTCTAATTTTGTACCATTATGTGGAAATTGTGATTCTTTTTATGCTAAAATATTTTCACTTTAGATACTTGTAATCTTTTTCTTTTTTTTCCCAGTTCACATTTTGCCATTTAAAGTTTAGGAACAACTTTTGTATTTGTCCTAACTTGTAGAGTTGGGTGGGGCTGAAAATCGTAATTATCAGTATTTTTTGTTTTTGCTTTTGGAAATTAGTGTATGAATGAATATTGGGTATTAATGGCAAATTTCTGACCCTGGTTCTAGTTAATTTAAATCACTTTTATTATACTCATGCAGATCAAAGAAACTGTTTCAAATAATTGAAATTTTATTCCAAAGTTTTTGGATTGGTGAATATTATGTGATTTGGTTATTTAAGGGCTTGTTTGGTAATGTTTAAATTTATAATTTTTTGTTTAAACTGTAAATAAAAACCTGTTTAGTTTTTGTTTTCATTTTCAAAAAGTTGTAAACTCAAATTGATTTACTTATTTATCTTTTTCCCTCTTTCTCCCACCTTTTTTGACCATCATCTGTTATTCAGCACTATCGGCTACCATCTCCGATGGCTTCCTCTGCCAACCATCTCCCTTGGCCCTGAATGAACTCTCATTATGTCTAACCACCCCCAGTCATCAACCACCGGAGATAACCACCTTAAATTGATAGTACTATTGGCAAATTTGATTGCTAGTAGGCAAAAATGGTTGTTTCATTTTATATATTTGCCATGTTATCGGTTTTGAGACCTAACAATCCCAAAATACTTATATTTCTAACTTCAAATTGTATACACAACAAACTCATTGAATATTATGTGATTTGGTTATTTAAGGGCTTGTTTGGTATTGTTTAAATTTATAATTTTTTGTTTAAACTGTAAATAAAAACCTGTTTAGTTTTTGTTTTCATTTTCAAAAAGTTGTAAACTCAAAAATTGATTTACTTATTTATCTTTTTCCCTCTTTCTCCCACCTTTTTTGACCATCATCTGTTATTCAGCACTATCGGCTACCATCTCCGATGGCTTCCTCTGCCAACCATCTCCCTTGGCCCTAAATGAACTCTCATCATGTCTAACCACCCCAAGTCATCAACCACCGGAGATAACCACCTTAAATTGATAGTACTATTGGCAAATTTGATTGCTAGTAGGCAAAAATGGTTGTTCCATTTTATATATTTGCCATGTTATCGGTTTTGAGACCTAACAATCCCAAAATACTTGTATTTCTAACTTCAAATCGTATACACAACAAACTCATAGAAAATTCATGGAAAACAAAAACAACATGAAAAAAAGGTAAAATTTAAGAAGCATAGAGGATTCTCTCATTTTTCCTCTCGATCTCATTGAAGCTAGGATCAGGGTTTCCTCCTTATCCAAAAATTAAAAAGAAAAAATAATATATAAAAAAAGTCTCCGGTTTGGGACTCCAATTTTAGTAATTTAGACTCCAACAATAGGGGAAGCACATTGGGTGCTACTAGCCACTCGACGACAGGACAAGGGTGGAACTTGCATGCCTTGCCTGTCAGAGTGCTTCTTTCTTTTCTTGGCATGTTCTTGTTTCTTCAGATCCTCTAAGCATCGAACCTCAGCCATTATACACGCAAATGATCTTGCTTTCCCTGAATAATATCTCGATAATCCCCTCTTGCTGAAACAACAAAACATAAACAAGAATTTTTAAAAACAAAAATTCGTTTATTGTTTATTTTCATTTGATTTGAAAATAAATTTTTATTCCTTCTTTCCTATTCTACTCCCTCCACCATACTGTCCATCCCCCATCTTTGACCATTGTTCCTCTGACCACCACCTCCAACCACCACTTTCAGTGGTCAACAATCTTCTTTGGCCGTATTTCACTTTTGTTCAAAATAAGTTTTTGAAATATACAAGTGTACAGAACAAAAAGTCAACTATAAATGTAATTAAACAATACGCATTTAGAAAAAAAAAACTAGAAAACGACCAAAGAAATTTTAAGTTATGGGTAGCTTTCTGATTTTTTTTTTTTTTTTGTTGGGTTACATACCATTTACGTACAACAAATACAATCATTTTGTTACTTGGAACGACTTATGGTTTGAAAACTGAAATGAATGTAACTAAGGAAAATTCACAATAATGATCTTACTTCTGAGGAAGGTTCGTCTTGAGTGTATCCATGTCAAAAGTCCTCATGTTTCCAGTTCCTTTCTCCATATTGGTTGAGAGAGAGGGAGAGAGAGAGAGAGAGCTGAGGAGGAGAAGATGGTAATGGTGAAGGTTTATATAAGAGGTTTGTAAATGGGAAAAAGGAAAACAGAGTTAATGGTTAGATTGAAGAGAAATGGGGGATAAGAGGTCGCTATATGTAAGAAGCAATTTTTGGGGTACAATAAAGGTGGTTTGGTTGACAAAAAATACATGCTTGTGGACCATTCATGTTATTGGATTTGTATGTGTGAGTGACACATATCCACAACCCTTTCTAAACTTGCTCTTGTTCATTCAATTATCCCCTTTCTTTGAACCCCTTTTGGTGCTCTCTCTCTCTCTCTCTGAATATGGCCTAGTTTTGTTCTCTCATTTGGTGGTCCACATTAAAGGTCACTACACAACCATATATGTGGTGACATGTTAGATTTTCGGAGCAATCAACAATACTATATATTTAGAAAAAATATTTTTAAAAAAAATGTATAAATCAAATTTATTTTTGAATATGCTTTGAAGATTTTATTTAAGAATAATTTTTAAAATATATAATTTTTTTTTTGTTTCTAAAAATTAGTATAATACAAAGGTATGAAGTCTAAAACTCATAGCCACTTTGGTGCAACTTATGGTTTTTTATGTTATGGGTCTATATTTGTATTGAGTATTTGGTAGTTTACAAATTATATGACAAAAATAACATGATGAAATTGAAAAAAAGTTAATCATTGGGATATTGAGGGAGAGAATGCTTTAGCTTCTACATTTAAATTATAAATTTTTAACTTGTAAAAAATGCACAAAGCAAGTTTCTTTTGTTGCTAAAGTTGTCGTTATTATTTTTTAGTAACAAAATTGGGCATTTAGTGATGACTTATTATTCTTTTGGAATCAAATTTTGTTAAATTTTTTTTGAGACCAAATTATTTTGTTCCTAAAAATGTATTTATTAGCGATATTTTTAAAATTTTGTTGCTAAAAGCCCTTTTTTTTTTTATTATTTGAGATAACTTTTTAACAACTATCCTTATGACCATAGGAATTAATTTCCAAATATTTTTTACAACAAATTTTTTACCTTTTGGGACAGAATTAATTCTAAAACTCTTGAGATATAGAGATAACTTTTTAACGACTATCCTTACGACTATCCTTAAGGTTGTAGTGCTAGGTATAGCGTGGTAGGTTTGAGTGCTCTAGATTTCTGGTAATTCAAACCAAATTAGCTTGCTTGTTTTCATTTTTCAGAAAACACTTCTCAGAAAATTTTACTTTCTTATTTTTCGTGTTTTTTTATTTTTATTGAATTTTTTTAAATATTTTAAGCATTTTTTTTTACTTTTTAGACACAACTAACATAAATACACCTAAAAAGTAAAAAAAATGTAAAAAAATATTTTAAAAATTCACTAAATACCAAAAATACAAAAAAAATATAAGAATTCAGTACATTTTTTGTATTTTTATGTATTTATTAATTTTTTAAAATATTTTTTCACAAATTGTTTACTTTTTATATAAAGAACATGAAGAAGGAAACAACACTAATAATACTATTAATGTAGAAATATTTTAAGCATTTTTTTTTACTTTTTAGACACAACTAACATAAATACACCTAAAAAGTAAAAAAATTGTAAAAAAATCTTTTAAAAATTCACTAAATACCAAAAATATAAAAAAATATAAGAATTCAGTACATTTTTTGTATTTTTATGTATTTATTAATTTTTTAAAGTATTTTTTCACAAATTGTTTACTTTTTATATAAAGAACATGAAGAAGGAAACAACACTAATAATACTATTAATAAGCTAAACTAAAACTGAAATATAATATTAAAAGAAAACAGTTTAAATAAACATTAATAATAAAACTTACAATTGTTTAATGGAGAGAAATAAACAATTCTTCAAAATACATAACTTGAAAACGAACTTGAAAAGAAAATTACAGAGATAGGTTTTTCTCTTGAGGAATGAATGCTCTCAATTTTTTCTAACTCTGCCTTATTCTTGACTGAAGAGGCCCTTTTATAATAAAAAAAGACCACTGTTAGCCTTGTGAGTGAATACTATGAGTCTTGTGAGTGAATAGTCTTGACTTGAAAGGAGCATCAGAAGCACATGGGAGTTGTCTGCTGCTTTCGGTGAGTGACTAAAACTTTTACTGTGTTGAATTTGTCGGTGGGATGATGAATGATGAATGATGAATAGTAATGTTGACTTTTTGATGAATAGTGAACAGTAAAGTTGACTTTTTTACTATTCATATATACCAGCAGCTTTTCTCAAAAGACGAGTATTGATTGAAGCTGATAATTATAGCTATATAGAATCCAATGACTGAGTTAAGCATATTGGTCCTGAGCATCTTGGAACTCGGGTCCATATGGATTTTAGGTAGTTGAACCTTCAGAAGAGCTTGAACTGTCTGAACCATCTTCTGAATTGCTATTATCCGAGTCTGACTTGGCTTGGGCCATGAGTAGACGAGCCATTTGGAGGAGCTCATCTTTGGATGACTTGGACTTGGGCTTAATCTTTGATTTGGATTTATCCTTTGACTTGGGCTGGTCAGAACTGGGCTTTGCTGACTTGGATTTAATCTTTGATTTGGATGACTTGGGCTTGGAAGAACTGGATGATGGGCTTCCAAGATTGACTGGAAGAAGTTGGCTTCCTTGAGTGACTGGAGTAGTTGGGATCTGCTGAGCTTTAACCATGGCAGGTGTAGGAGCATGAATGTTAATCGGGAACTCAGTTTGAACAATTTCATCAATTCGTTGAATCTTGAAGTTATCCCACCATTTAACCTTATGTAGCCGCTGAATCACTTTACCAGAAATACCATATTGCCATTTGAATATCCAAGGGATTTTATATTTGGATATAAAAATAAGCAATTGAGGGGATTCTCTTTGCTGTGGAGTAAATGAGAAAACAGTGGAGAAGTAATTGACTTGATCCAAAATTACTGATGGGAAGATGTCTGGAATGTCACCATAATGGGTCCACCATCTCAGAAACCAAGTAAGTAATTCTGACTTAAACTTTTCATCA